ATAATAATATCCATTTAATTTACATTTTGTTATTTTCTCTAATTTTGACATATAAAGTAATATATTTTGTAATCGCAGCAAGTGTCAAAACGATCTACTTTATTCAACCAGTTGCATAAAGTAGAACATTATGCATCTGATTACGAAAAGTTGATTATGTCACCAGTTACGAAATGAAAATAAATCTGCCTCTTTTTTGATTTTGAAATCGAAAAATCGAAAAATCCATTAAACGAAAAATCGAAAAAACGAAAAATTGAAAAAACCAAAAATTGAAAAAAGGGCAATGAATAATGACTTTTCACATTTGAAAATATGACATTACGTTTAACAACAAAAAAGAAAACGAAAAAAGAAAAGCTGTAAATTGCGTTTTATTTTTTTAAATAATTGAACACCGTTATTGAAAACTGCCCAGAAATGTTGGGGGTAAAATTTTGACGTACTCCTTTAAGGATAATGGGTAAAAACCTTTTTTTTTCAAATTTCTCACGGGTAATGTTAAAAATCAGATCGGCAACACTGCACATGTCCCTTAGTTTTATTATAACTATTGAAAAAAAAAAAAAAAACGTTGTAGGGTAATCAAATACAATAATTTTGTGAAATATTTGATTGGAAGTACCTACAAAAGAATGATTGTGAATCATTTTTCAACACAATTTTATAAATAATCAAGTCAAAATTAGAAACAATCTTGTATGTAAACACGTTACGAAATGCCTTATTTTGTGTAACGAGTAAATATTTGCGGAACGAGCGGAGCGAGGTCCCGCAAAATGAACTGGTTACATAAATAGCTATTAATTGACTTCCTAATATTTTAAATCATTGAACATTATTTTCCGTAAATAATTAAATCATAAATAATGACCGGCATATAAGTACCGAAACAGTCTTTTCTCTTCGAAAAGTAGGCTTATGTTAAATAAACTTAAAATATTATAACAAACGAAAAGGTAACCCATTTCTAATAAAATTTAATTATTTATTTTATTTTGGTGTGATCGTAGAAAAAATCTTGTGTGTAATTCGAACAAAAAGTACTTTGGCTGTTTCGATAACTTTGTCTCAACAGCTATTTTGTTACAATAATTTTATAAACTTTTACTTAGGGTCGATTTCACCGTTTTGTTAAACGAAGTTTAAAATACTAAACGAAAGTTAAAATTACATTTTTATATTAACAAAAACGAAGTTTAAAATACTAAACGAAAGTTAAAATTACATTTTTATATTAACAAAAACGAAGTTTAAAATACTAAACGAAAGTTAAAATTTCATTTTTATATTAACAAAAACGAAGTTTAAATTACTAAATGAAGATTAAAATTACATTTTTACATTAACAATGTCATTTTAATCTCCGTTTAGTAATTTAAACTTCGTTTGACACAACGGTGAAATCGGCCTTTAGCTAACTATATATTGATATTGCCCTTATCATAAATAAATCGTGCTAACAAATAAAGTCAAAAAAAGTCTCATAATTTTTCATCTTTTAGTTACCTACTAAAATTGGGTACTAGAATACAAATATTTAAGTCCGGCCCAGAATATCTCCCTACTCCTTTCACCCAGTTTTTCGGTTTTGACAAAATTCGCGCAGCGACATATGCTTCCTATGTTACCTCTATCATTTCTAACCTCTTTGGTCTATGCACACATAGTCCAATGAAAGTCCACTTTAGATCTATTTGAGGGTCAGGACGTCCATATCCGGGCATCCAGTGTACGTCCGTTTATGCTAATTAAATTGACAGCTAAATATCGATACCCAGAGAACGTCTCTTTTTGTACTTAATTTTAAGTTTAGTAGTATTTTGACGTCCATCTTAGGTCATTATTTATTAAGCCTACCAGAAAATAATCATCTATATATACTTCTTTTTTTAATATAACTGGTCATTAAAAATTGACAAATTGAATCTATTGCATTTCATTCAGCGGAAGTTTGAAATCTTATTTAATTATAACTGTATCTAGTAAAAAGTTTTCAAGTGGTTCCTTGGTCGAGCTCGTCTAGCGATTAAAAGCGTAAAACGATAATGGATGTGTCGTGAGGTCGATTCCAGCTCAGGTCAAGCAATTTTTAATAAAAAATAAATAAATGGTGTATAGCGGTTTGCGAAAATAATAAACAAATTATTAATAATATAAAATAGTTTTTGGTGAGTTGCGGTTCTGTAAAAAAAAAAATTTGGATGTGGTCTCAATGGAAATATAATCCTGGACGATTTTTGAATGTCCAGTATTCGACGTCCAAATATATTCCAGAATTGGACGTCCTCTGATTGGTCAAAAGTGTACCATTTGTATACTTCACTGGACGTCCATTGGATCTCGGAAGTCCAGAAAACTCATTTTTGGACGTCTAGACATCCAAAATTGTATATTCAATGGACATCCAATGGACATATTTGTATTGTCTTGGTGATAGCCAGGCCAGGTATTTAACTCTAAATACATAAACCTTAAATGACATCTCGTTTACCTTGGCGAGAAAACATTTGTTTCTACAGAAATGAGTGATAAACTTGAAAGTCCTTTTAATATAATATAAATCTAGAAATTCTAAAAATATGTAAGTACTTTTTAAACCTAAAAGCTTTGAAAATATATGCACATTGCAAATATTTAGTTAAACCTGTCAAACTTAATGTCTTTTTAATTGTTACCTAATTTTTTTTTGGCACCCTTAATTTTATTTACCTTATTTTTACTTAAGGAAAAGGTAATTTAATTTAAATATGGGGCTTTTATTACATTTTTAACAATAAATAAACCAAATATTAAACAAATTTTATAGATAAATTATAAAATAATAAAAGTCTTTTACTTTTATAACAAATAATTAATTATTACATAATAAATTATATTTTGGTGCCGAAATTGCACCATTGCTATTAACCCTAACTACTTCAATGTAATTAAATCACATTGCAACATTTGCGCATGGACTATAAAAATAATATCAGATAATTTGCCAAACTATTTCGCTCAGTGTAGAAAATAAGCATGTTTTCTCAGCGTGCTAAGTTGTGTATCAATCAAAGTCATGCTGTAAAAAAGGTACATCCGATATCAAAGGCACCGACAGCTACTGTCGCTTCTCCTTGATCGGTATTCTCGGCATATACATCATCGCGAAAATAGTTAAAACAAATTGAAGGGACCTCAAAACGTATAAAACCTTCGAAAACTCGAGATCGAAAAAAAAATCAAGATTCCTATACTTTTCTTATCTGTACACAGATAGGAAAGTAAAAATTGAAAATGTTTTGTCACCGAGGTTGGATTCGAAATCTTTCATTCAACAACTTGGATGTAGGTGATTATGTCTTGTTGGTTAAATGGTTAAAGTAGTATGCATATAACATGAATAAGTGGTTTCGAATCCGCCCCTAGACACAAATTGTTCATTAAATTTGTTTTTACGTTGGTGGTTGAAATCAAATTTTCATTATTTAGAAGTGGTAATTTTATAATTTATTTGGGGACTTCTAGTGAATTGAATATATAATTCTAAAATACGAGTTAATGTTTTATCTTTAAAGTTAAAAGATCAGAGTATTTCAAATTATGAATCCCGCCCGCACTATTTGCAAGACAATTCAATTGGCACTATTTGAATATTATCTTAATGTGCAATAGTTCTACAAGAAATACTCCAATTATTATATTGAGAACCCTTGAGAAAATTAACTATAATAACATTAGAAATTGCTACCACTAAATCAAAGGGGTCCATTTGGATTATCTAAATCGATATTGTTATTACATCCTGTTTAGTATATTTGTTATTTATACTATTATGTTATAGCTTAGCGAATTTCTAGTTTAATATAGTCTAGTTTTTCAAAAGTTCCCAATATGAATGCAATCTGTTTGTATATTAATGTTTCCCATTGCAAAATTCGTTATCGACTAGTTTAATTTAAATAAAAATAAAAATGGACGTTCCTCCCCGACGTAAGCCTTGCTTTCACAACTTCAAGGGTTGACTCAAATTATAAGCAATATATTGTTATAATTATTATTGCAAAATATAAATATTCAGTGAAAAAAGAAGCTAAGGGAAACAAGAGACTCTTTCGAACTTCCTGAAAAACGCTTTAGATATTTTTTCAGTTATATAAAGACTAAATATTTTGTTTCGTTATAATGAGGGAAAAGCTTTTTTACGAAATATTTTCCATTAATATTATCAATTAGTGCCAATTCAATAATTGTCGCCAAATAGTGTTGTTTTTTGCTCTTATCCCTATTTTTTTTTCCGGAGGTGGGAAAATCCATCTTATCCTTATTAGGGTTATATGCAGTAGTTTACCAGTAGCTAAAAGTAAATCTAATTTTAATAAACTTCAATTTTTTTTTTTTTTGATATCCTGGAATACCAATAATTAAAAATTGGATTCGCTCTATAACCCTTATATATACATTGGAAGAAGTAAACAAAATATCCTCATCGTGTGTAGCCTCTGACAAGGTTAATTTCGACTTTGGAAGTTGAAATTTTGAGTTAGAAGTAAAAATTCCGAGTTTAAAGTCAAAATTTCGAGATTAAAATCAAAATTCCGAGTTTAAAGTCGACATTTCATGTTTAAGTCGAAATTTTGTTATCTGGCCCTTCTACGTCTTTGTAGTACAATAACAATAATTTTAAATTATTTTCTATTTATTTGTCGTGTTATATCCATTAAACTGAATATAAGTTGTATAACTACAACTAATTTAATAATATTATTTCCAAACGTTGACAGACTTCTATTTCTCATAAATTTTAACATATTTGCATAAACTAAGTGGAAAAGTATGGATTTTCACAATAATTTATAATTAATACACCGTTTAATGTTGTAAAAGCAATGATAATGTGAGTTAAGTTTACTAACCAATTCAAGGAAAAATATAGACGTTTTGTGGATACAAAGGGAGTATTACAAGAATATAAATCCACATCATCATTAGTGAAATTCTAGTTAGATGATGACAGATGTCGAATTTTGACATATATAAAAATATTAAATTATATTATTATTTTATCACATGAAATATGATCTAAGGATATTTATCATTCTGAAACGTCTGTGGCCACTGAATAAAGTTCATAGTACTGCTCCAGATAAGAGGTAGCTTTATCAGTATTATTTTAAATGAAACACAATGATGTTTGTTTATTCGTAATACTAGTTTATTTGCATCAGTACGTGTGAAATGGAGCCTATCCTTCTCGTCCATGGAGGAGCTGGGAATATACCTAATGAAAGAGTTCCAGGGAAGTTGACTGGATGTAAAAAATCGGTTCAAATTGGTTACAAAATTTTAAAAAATGGTGGTAGTGCGCTGGATGCAGTGGAAGCTGCTGTTAGGTATATGGAAGATGATGAGAACTTCAATGCAGGTGAGTACATTCATACAGATAAATTGACAATGTTCTTTAGCACAAAACAGTCAAATTTCACCCTAGTCAAATTTTGAAAATGAAGTTAAAAATTTATTCAAAATACCACAATACATTTGTTATTTTATTAACTTGCAATTTTTTTATTAATTGTAGACGAATAGTCACCTAATTTTTTTTAGACATAGTGCCCGGCAACTTTTTTTATAGTTTTAATAACTCCTATTTTACAAAATATAGTAATTTAAAAATTTTCAATAATTTGCTTTTAATTATTGTATCTGAAAAATATGTTTGTTTAAAAAACATAAAAGAGAGAGAAAACTTAAAGTCTATATCACAAGTATAATAACATTTATTATTTATTTTTTTAATAGCCTAAGTCTTTTATAGAATTGGAAAATATAAAATTATAAATTTACAAGAATAGAGAACACAAGAAATTAAAAAATATACAAACTTATAAAAGAAAGCTACCATATTATATCAGTACTTACTTTTAAATAAATCATAATATTACTGCTCTTTTAATATAAATTGGTTTAGAGATAAATATATTAATTATATTTTCATTACTACACAAAAGACCCACGTGACCAAAATTTTAAGAAAATTAAACTGTAAAATGATCAGTTTATTATTAATTAATTAGTTTATTCTAGCTCTAATACTGGTTTTATTTATAAATACACCCAACAAAAACTAAATTGCCAGGATATTGCTGGCCTTTTCCTGTAATTGAAGGGAAAATGAATGCGACGATTAAAAGATAAAAGCCTACTTTTGGCCTTTCGATAGTGGCCCAGCATTATGTTGCTTGATGATGGCCTTATGAAGGGCAAGTAACTGTATTGGATAAAAGCATGGTAAAAGTCAAAAACTTTTTAACTGCCGCAGACCCAACTCAAATAGTCCCCGCGTTCATAGATGGAGACACCGATGATCGCTTGTTACATACTCAACGAGTGGACATATACTATGAGGCCAGTCTCGCATTGCTTGTATTTAGTATTCATTATAATTTTTTACTTTTACATGTTAATTTAGAATATTTTATTTAAAATTTTTTTGAAGAAGACATGTTTTCAGTATTATATTATACATATAGCTGAATTAAATAAAATGTCTACAATATTCTATATTGAAACATATTGTATAGAATTTATAGTTCAAATGGTACTACTGGTCAAAAAAGCACTATTGAATATCCTGTCTGATCATGCGTCTGACACATCGCCTTTATTAATATGGTAAAAGCAAGCAATTTCCCATCAATAGGCCATTAATTGCCAATATATTTATTTCTAGACAATAAAGGGGAAATGAAGTCCCATTAATTGGTAATGATGGCACAGTGACTTCGGCCCGACTGTCGGCCGTCGTGATCTATATATGCCGGCATTTTAATTAAAAAAGTCAAATGACCATCAATGTAATTGGAGGGTGACAGTTATTGGGCCTTTACTTCCCCTACACAAAATGTTGTTGGGTAATTATTAAAAATACGTATATTTGCAAGGAAAAGTATAATTACCAAAATACAAGTAACTGTTGAAAATAGTACGTTGTTTAACACATCTTTTTTAGGTTACGGATCTGTACTCAATTTAGATGGAGAAGTTGAAATGGATGCCAGTATAATGATAGGTTCTAACTTAAATGCAGGAGCTGTGACTGTAGTTAGAGATATCAAAAACCCCATCAGGTAAATTATATAAATTATACCTACAAGAGGTGAGAATTTTTTGAGAACAGTTTGTTGTTTCTTTGAAAATTATGCGTCTAAATTTCACAATACAAAATTCTCCTCAAAATACCTAACCAGCAGTTTCGCTGAACTTTCCTATATTTCAACGAGAGGCATATAGCCAGAGACAACAGAGACGTGTAACTTAATAGAAAAATTTGTTCGGTGGTCCATTTAAATTACATATATGACTTTCTTTCTCTTTTACATTGATCATTACATATATTTATCTCTGTCCAATAAAACTGATAACAGCCCTAGAGGTTGCTGATATTGCTGGTTTTTTGACGTCGACGTGTGACGTATAGATTAGAACTGACAGCTGACAATGTTATGAATGTTGTTATGTACGTGTACAATTGATAAAAATTAATTTAATTTGGGCCCCGTTTATTTATTTGAGTCCGATTTTGTTGTTTATTTTCGCATATTATTTTTTCCATGAAGCAGTTTCTAGAACCAAAGTTGCGTTTTTGTGCACGCTTCTTTCTAGAGGTAAGTAATTTCCAATTTACTAAAAAATCAACAACTACATACTGTATAATGTGTGTGTTTAATAATATATTACAAAATGGCTATAATTATTTTAGGTGAATTGGAACAGAGATCCATTGTTACAGCTACTTTTGTTCATTAAGTAGATAGATGAATGTCTAGACAGCTTTAATGGTAGCACAAAGTTCCCATCTACTAGAAAAGATGTAAAAAAATCTCTGTACATGTAGAATTGACAAAGGACTTTTGTAATGATTAGAGATTGGTAATTTCTTACATGTACTTCTAGTGGCTATTAGAAGATTGTAAAGTCATTTAAACGAAGGAAAAAAAATTAAATCACTAAAATACAGAATTTTAAATTAGGATGCATTGGAAAATAAATTTGGGGACATCAGGTCGGTTTTGGATTTTGGAGAGAGATCAATCTCAAGAAAAGTTAATTTATCCCGCAGAACAACCAGTAGTTTGAATACGATCTGCTATAACTTTATTAGAAGATTTCCTTGATAATAAATTGTAATATACCAATTGTTTCGAATGAAATTGAAAACGAGTTAAATTCTAAATTAAATTTTTCATAGGTAAAATGTTATATTCATTCAAACATCGTAAGGTAATCTATATAATTAAGAGAGTAGGGTAAATACAGGGGGGGGATATCGCGCATAGTGTTATGTCGGCGCTGACGTCATGCGTAGAGTTAGTAGAGTTGGCGCCAAGTAAATATCATATCACAGATGCACGTTGAAGTGATTTGTAAGTTATTAATAGTGATTTATAACATTTTAAGCGAATATCTGTATTATATTACATTGTAGACAGTGTTCTTTGTGAGTGGTATTAGTGAAAAACATTAAAAAATGAGGTACACAATTTACGGATGTAGGAGTAACAATCGAAGTAAAGGAGTCGACATTCCTCGACAGTAAGTTATTGGGTCAGAAATGGCCAAAAGGCGGCTCTAGTTGTAAATTCCAGGGAGCCTCGCCTCTTTCTTAATCAACATTTTTACACTCCATGGGGCCTTTATTGAAAAATATACTAAAAAGGGAAATCTTATAAGCAATGCTACCCACTCCTCGAAAATTTGACGAAGACGCCCTTGCAGTGGCCTGTGGCCGTGCAGATAACTTTAAAACAGAAATTTGTCAAAGGTGATCCAAAAACTTTTAACCTTTCAATTATAACATGGACCTCAAAGCAAACCTTCACGTTAGTTCATTCGCAACTCAGGACTTCTTAACTGGGGATTCTACCCTTTTTAGTACCTATACATAAATCCCATCTTATTCATAAAATAAGTTGTTAAGTATATTCAATTGAGTAATATATTGCAGATAAATGAGTCATCAGTTGCGAATCCTAATCAGGTAAATAGTCCCAAAATGCGAAATTTTAACCTAGCAGTTGAGAAATTCTGAGTTGCGAAGATACCCTTCTCATTATCCTGGTCATAGAAACTATTCTTTAGACGTCGAATTTTCTTCTAAATTAAAATCTGCATTAAAATTTATGTAACAAAAATAAATCATTAATAAGAAAAAGGAAAAAAACTGATACTTCAAATAAATATTTTTTTCATATATGTATTTGAGTTTATTTTCCTTTATAGCTCTTTCCTTACAATAATATCCTTAGATATTTGATGTCATTTTTAAAATATTATCCTTTAATATTTATTAAATTTTTATAAATAGCATTTAGTTTCCTCATACTTCGATAGTATTTTTAAATTCCCGCCTATACAAACTCTACGCATGACGTCATGCGCGTGGTCGTCCTATTTTTGACACAGTTGATATCCTACCTTCTATTTTTTATACCATGGGGTAAATAGGTATACCCTCGTGGTGTAAGAGACCGGTAAGTGACAACGACAAAAAAATACAAAAATGTATTCATCTTTAAATAGTGTTTATTATTAAATATTATTAATATTATTATTTGCTACGTTTGAAAAGTACCCCCAGCTGCAGAAGGGATCGAATAGATTAGACGACTAGTAGGAGAAGGTCCACCTAGTCACCAAATTAGGAGACTAGGAAAACTTTTACATGACTGGGGACACAACAGGAATGCACACGCACAAGATACACAAACAGACGACATAACAAGGGAAAGCCTTCAGCAACGTCCTGTTTAAATGATGATAGTATGTTATACTTCATACCCTTTTAGAAGGCATGGCATACAAATCTATTGATCTGGAGGACCTTGCAGAGGATTTAGCAGGGGGTGGACGGAATGGGTCTAGCAGGTTTCGATCCAGTTTACAGGATGAGAACTTACTCGACTCGGCCTTTTAAATTTGTGTGAGTATACGTGTGTTTTTGTTTCGTTTCCATGGTTTCTATTAAAATAAACAGTTATAATACTCTATACTTTATGAAATATTTGTTACATTATTTTTTAAAAATATTATGAATATATGGGTAATTCTCGTGTAACTGCGATTTTTACTACCTAAATTTTTCTAAAATTAAAAATGTTTTAAAACGTATATTTTACGCGTTTTTGTTTTCTATTTATGCACAGAAATAGGCCTGTAAAGTGATTCTACTACAGCTACAACACAACGAAAACTGTGACAAAATTTTAATGCCACGGTACTGACATTATTTCCACGGTACTGACATATAAATGATTATTTTTTTTTACCAATCGAAAGATTGGTATAAAATTAGAATAAAATTCAATGCAATATGCATTAGATTGTAGTTATAAGATGTATATTTTATATTAACACGTTCACGATCGCTATTATGAAATTTGACAATGCTAGAAACCAACTCGTTTTTTTGGGTGGCATAACATTTTGACAGAAATATTATATATTTTATAGGTTATATGTGTTTATCTATTTTTTTGTATTTTTGTGTGCCAGACACGCTCGAAACTGACGTCAAAACACATCTGTCGCCGCTGAACCGCCCGAAAGTTATTTGCATTTAATCATTGTAGGGTCATTGTCACACATTTGTGACATCAGTTTCTGGAAAAAACTGCTTGTCACATATATGTGACGCGTGGTCGTCAACGTGTTAAAAAATGAATTTAGAAAAAAATGTATATATTTAATTTCAAAAATGAGAATCGGACAAGCCACGGTACTGATATTTCGAGTATATGCAACTTAAAAAAATTTGCCAAGGTTTATGATCTAATTCATAATGTCGGTTGAAAAAAACCTCTAAATGTATAATATTAATAACTTTTTGATGAGGAAAACTTATGCTAAACGATAAATAAAAAATCACAGTTATCCGAGAATCATCCATATAACAACTGTGACTTTCTTTGTAATTTGTTACAAAATGATACGAGGTACTTTCTAAACGTAGCAATTGTAATTTGCAATTATTACAAAACTATAATTTATAGAGTTTGATGTATTATTTTTCCAAGTTTAAATATTTAATAATCAATAGAATTTTCAATTTTTTTTTCAGCTAAATTTACAAGATTAATAAAAACTATGTTCACTACTTATATTAAACTATGATTAAAACTTTCTTCATTAAAATGATTATTTATATAATAAAAATTTTATGTTATTGGAAGCTTTTACATTTTTTAATATACAGTGAAACAATAGTTTTTGTTTCTCCTCTCAATTTGTATAGAAAATCTATTTCTTAATCCATGTTTGAATTTCCCGCCCTAAGGCATTTTTAAATGTTCCCGCTATTTATGACTGGATACGCACAGCAGTAAGAAAAGAAGAAAATTTACTAGTGGCGCCATCATAGACTGATTGTGGTCACAATCGCCCAAACAACTTTTACCGAACAAAAAAAAATTCATTGAGTTACACGTCTCGCTGGGTTGTCTCTGATATAAGCTGTGTTAAATTACCAACCATTATTTTATATTTGAACTTTTTGACCGGTTCAATTTCATCGTTTAAAAATATTATTCAGAATTCGTATTTTATTTGTTAGTTCTTTGTCTATTGCTTTTTTGGTTGTGATGGGATTTCTTACTGAAATATAAAGACTAGACAGGAGGCGAATCGGCAATGGTCAAATTTCCGTCCTTCTTTTTATAAAGTTCGCGAAATTGACTGTAGTTGGCATGTCTAATGACAGCGCAGTCAATTTTCTATGTAAGTCAATATAAAATAAAGTGAATTTTTAAAAAATTGATGAAAAGAATCAAAATAATGTGAAAAAAAAAATACCTGAGTTCAAGTAACATGAGTGACAAAAAACATGAAAGCAAGATTTACGTCATTTCAGATTGTAAAACAGGATAAAAATCAAATGTAAAACTAAAGAAAACACAAGAAGAAATCAATTCAATGTCTTTTTAAAGCTTTTAATGTAAGTAAAATAATGTATTCATGTCTAAATATAATATTTATTGTAAACTAGTCACAATATGTATCTTACGAAGTATAGTTTATTTTATTATAAGTTTCTATAATATAAAATTTTACAGTTATAGATGCTGACTTACAAACAACAATAATTATGCATTAAATTTAACTTACTAGAAAAGAAAATTTATTTTTTATAGAGTTTTAATGTTAGATAAAGAGTTGCTACTGTTATTTTTTATTTACCCCAATTGTGTCATTGTAAATGTTTTTTATAAGATACTAAACGTTTAGAACAGTGGCAGCATCCTATATCGCTCCTAGTGCCGATAAAGCACTTTCTAGAGATGATGCTGTTCTATACTTTTTAGAAGATATAATCAAATATGAGACTATTTTTACTGATGGTACTGTTAGCAAAATAAAAAGGGGAAAGCTGAAATTAAAGGATGAGGTAATACCATGTACATTTCCAAATCTCCCTTTATACTTGTATTACAACAATAAAAAATCTGTTAACTGTGTTTTATTTTACTCTTAAAACTATATATTGGTTCAATTAAAAAAAAAATGCCACAAAATTGTACTTATCAAATTTCAGCAATTAAGAAACCTTTTCGAATTTGGTCATACATACCTAATTTGTATTTTATATAGATAAAATTAAATAATTTATCAATTTAAACATGCAAGACTTATTTAGAAATAAATACAACAGTATGTTCTGTGCTTTATTTATCTGTAAACAAGTTTATTTTTACTATTTTGACAAAATTATGTATAATTCCCATAAGAAGCCATGTATTTTGAACAACGTATGCAGTACCAGCGCCCATGCGGTTAATTATAGAAGTTCAATTAGCATGCGTTTTTTGGGACCGTATTTTGAGTATGCCGATTCGTCTCCTTATCTCTAGTCTTCATATACTGAAATTATTAATTCATGTAAGGCTGACTGTGGCCAGTGGTGTTTTAGAGAGAGGGGAGAATATTGAGAACAAAAATAAATAATTTTATTAGTGTCGTGTTGTCAAATCGGTCTTATCTATATTGAATGTACATGCAATAAAAGAAAATTTAAAGACTACAAAAAATTACAAATTTTTTATTAATTATAAAATCAAATTAAAATCTATGCATATAAAATTATTGAAGCGGTTATTTATTATAATAAAAGAATCAAAAACTGTAGAAAAATATAATACCGTACTCGTATATAACTATCAGAAAAAATAAAAGTCTATAGCAAAATTTGATGAAAATGATTGATTTTTAAGTAGAAGCTGCATATTTCACTTTAAGAAACGTTGGAAAGAATAACGCGGCTGGTGCATAAGTGCATTGAGTTGCAGAACTACCAAAAAAAAATGTATCTCATCTATATTTCACAGTAATTATTTTAGACATTCTAAAATATACGTAAAATAGATTTTATGGCTAAACTCATTAATTTTAACTTATTTTGATTATTAAATAGTAAATAGTGTATGTGAACTGCACCGCTTGGGCCACCGCTCGCTCATCGTCAAGAAGACTAATTGACAAGTTTGCGAATAGCGAAACTTTCTTGTGAACATTATTTTGATTAAAAATAAAAAAATGTGTATTGAACAATTCTACAAAATAGAAGATAATACACTTAATTATTGAAAATGAATAATTAATCTGCCAATATATTAAAAAATTAAGATAATATTTTATGAATTTAATACTCCTTCAATCCTTCGTTGCAATTTCCCAGACATAGTTATCAAATTAAGCTTGAAGATTTGTATAGAAGTAAAAAATGTAAACAAAAATTGTAAAAAATTGTAAAAAAACAAGAAGCATTTTACAATATAATATTTTCAAGCCAATTTTAATCAATATGGATAATATTTGGAAATATTATTTTTAGTTTGGCTCGTTTAGTAATGGAGAAGACTCCCCACGTACTTCTTGCTGGTGCAGGTGCAAATAAATTTGCAAGTGAAAATGGAATATCGACTGTTGAGCCGGGAAGTTTAGTTACTAAAGCAGCACAACAAGCTTTGGAAAATTTTAAACGAAAAGGTGGAAGTCTGACTGAGATTGGTCACAAAGTATGTTTATTATATTACTCATTTTTGTTCAAACTTCAGATTGATAAAATTGATAACTTTAAAATTTGAAAAATAGTTTCTGATAGTACATTAAAACACTCCCATTTCGTTTTAGAATCCAGGGGATGTTGGTACAGTTGGTGCAGTAGCACTCGACGTAAATGGAAATTTAGCTGCCGCTACCTCCACTGGTGGTATCAATGGTAAAATGGTAGGAAGAAGCAGTGATACATGTATGATTGGTAGTGGAACGTATGCTGATGATGAAGTTGCAGCAATTTCTACAACAGGTAAGGCGTAGTACTTTTCTGACTATATAAAAAATACTTAGGTCCATGTGATTGGTAATTAGTTTGGGCAACTGTTTATGATGAATATCATCGGCTAAGGCAGGTCTAGGTGAACTATATTGATTACCTTAAAATACACCTTGTTTAGGAAAATAAAACATTGATGAAGAGTATTTCTATTTAATTCACTTATTAACGAGAACTTGCATTGAAAAAGTGGTTGCTTTGTACATCTAGGTAGGCTAGATACAGGTGCCCTGTTATTACATTTTATAGGTATTCGCAAAAGAACGATGTGACTTCGTCGGAGGTTCGAAAGTGACTTGAGAGAACGAACTGAACGAAGAGGATGCTTTGGAGATCAGAAAGCGCCTTGAATAAAGGGACAATGTGTAATGTTTGGTGAGATATTACGTGCAGGTACCCTCAACCTATAATGCACTCTTATGCTTAGGTACATCGTGCAAACACTGGTATTGACTTTTTGTCACGATGTATTTTTAGTTGCATGAATAATACAGAAAGCTTATTGCTACTTATGAGATAGATGGTGGAATATTCTCAGCTCAGGGTCTTTGCGTACGTGATTGTTTGCATAAAATATATTTTGATTCTATTGTGTTGAAGCGACAGAAAAGTTGTTACTCAGGGCACAGGATAAAGAACGATACAGAAAAGAAACATAGGACTAAAACAGGAACCTAGCAATCGAAGCCCCACACCTTCTTTATGGTGGAGCATTGTCAAAAGTGAATCGTAGATGTTACTTGTTCGAAGTGCATAAGTGTACACTTTTGTAGCAGATGAACGAAGCTGTCACTGCTGTCGCTGTCAATATTTTTTTGCCTGTGGTCTTTATTTGTCGTTTTTGATTTTTGGTTGGTTTTAGCGAATATTCTAATAACTTTTACGTTTTGTTAGTGGTTTATTTTTAGTTTTTGTTACTGTTTTTAATTGTGGAGTAGTCATTTTTATTGTACGTATTAAAATTAGGTTTATAAACAATGCCGCGTCAAAGAGGAGGAGGGTATACTTGTATTTATCGTGGATGTACCTCAAGAACAGGTGACAAAGAAGAATTGTGAAAGATCCAGTGAGGTATGTATGAAACATTGAGTGTGAAATAGGAATTGACCTTGCCATAACATTGTAGTACAATGATTGTATGTTTTTTTCAGACTTGAATTGTGGCTTAATGCAGCAAATAGTGAGGACTTATTGAGAAAAAGTGTTGAATACTTAAGTAAACATTAAAAAATTTGTGAACTGCACTTCCAGGATAAATTTGTTTATCAGTCAGGAGCAAGAAAACGATTATTTGCAAATGCATTCCCATCAGTATTTCCTCACTCAGAACCTATGAAAAGAGTCACAGTTTTGCAAGGTAAATAAATAAAATGTATAGTTAAATGTTACAAAAAGTTTGCTACTTGTCTCGCTTGTTATTTTTTTACATTACATTTAGTAGTTTAAAAAATAAAATGATAAATACTAATAACCTTAGAATATCAACCCATATTCCATTTTATAGAACTGCTTTGGAGGTAAACTGCACATACAACTTATGCAAATTAAAATAAAGTAGTTTTATCAGTAGTTAGTAAAAAATACAAATATTGTGACAGTAAATGGGGTGTCTAAATGCATATCTAGTTGAAATTTAATAACTTAACAACATTCAATCTGCTGTACTAAACAGTTGACTGGAATGACATAGTGCAGTTTACCTCCTAGGCACAGAAATATATTCACATTTTATGAAATTATTTTAAATTTAATCTTGCTAAAAGTGTTACTTTAACTTTTAACTCTGACAAATGATGCACCTTCTTAAAACTAGTTGATCTGATAAAAATTTGTTTTTTATTTTTTTTTTTTTAGAAGAATTTGTTGTTCATGGCGAAAAAGGCAAAGACAACTTGTGCCTACCCTCAACTTCAGCAGAAGTAGAATCTATTGAACAAGTTCATAGTCAATCACCTGTTCCTCTACCTTGTACAACAGCACAAATTCAAACGAGTAGTGTATTATCATCAAACACTCCAAGAAAGCAGAGACTGCGACTGAAGATAGCAACGTTAAGGAAACGTTTATCCTAATTGCATATGTAATAAAAAAGAATCTTAAAATAATTCCATTCAAAAATTCTATTTTAATAAAATACATACATAGATTGTAAACTTATCAATTGCATAAATATACGTTTTTTATTTTTCTTTTTTTTTTTATTTATAAAATCCCTAAAATACGCTTTAGCTAATGATTTTTTAACAATTATCCAAATTGATTTATACTTATGGATCATAAATGACTAGTAAGATTTGTGGCACAATATTAATAGTTTATTATGACAGGGTAAAATAAACTATTGTTTAAAACTTTAAAATTTTCATTTTTGAAATCTCTGTCCGAAGTGCTACAAATTAAAAAATATTTTACTTAAATCAAGAATAGTTTAAAATTCATTCATGCAAATTTTCATAAAATATGACACATAATTCTGTAAAAGAGAAATGTAGTTTTCGCAGTGTAGGTTCAATGAATAGCTACGTTCGCGTGTACTGTGAATAGTTACGTTTTCTCAGAGTATCTCTGTGGTGGAACTCATGGTCAAATATTTCTATCCCTTCAACTTCAAAGTTCCGACCATTACTTTCTTTTCTGTATTGTTCTTTCTTCTGTGCTCAGGGGATAGAAGATATATGTTTTTTGAATGTGTGGACTTTAAACGCAGGTGTTTTGATTACTAAGCAAGCTTTGGAATGCGAGTGTTATCTTGTGCACACGATGGAATTTGGAATGATATATTTAAATTGAGTAATCTTTATTATGAAATTTAAATAGTAACAATACCACCACCATCAAGCTTACCAAAAATGTACAAGCCAGATAAAAAACACAAATATAAAACAATATACGGAGTAGCGAAAAGTTTGGCAAATATATTTTCTTTGAAACGAATGGAAGCAGAATTATGAAATTTTAGGGCCTGTATTACATTATTAATGTTTTTTTCTGATTCCTTCCTATTTTAAATTTCTTAATATTGAATGAGCTGACATGTTTTTAAGATTTGACGACTTAAATCAAACAAAATACAACACTTACATACTTAAATAGAATATAAAAAAAATAGATTTTGTGCATAATAAAAGAGTTTTCTATTTTTTGCAAACTTTAGTAAAACCCAAAATTTTCCTATATAATTTTGATGTACACATTCAGCTTAAATTTTTCTTGAGTATTGCTGTATAATAGAAGGACTACGATAGCTATATAAAGAGCTAGCATACCTTAAATCACACTCTATTTACACCGACAGATAAAATATGTCTGATAAAAAGGATTATATCCTTAAAGAACTCTAGTTTGCAGCTCCTAATTCTGCATTAGCAAAACATAAGTAAGCTGCAAGCTATAAGAAGTGCGAGTTTATTAATCATGTGTTTATATCAAACTATTTCATTAGTCATAACATTAAGCAACTACATATTTTTAAATTTCAGGACTAGACAAAGACAATCATCAAACAGCCAGTGTATCTGTTAATGAAGTTTCTGAACAGATAATCAAAATTTATGAACATACGTGTAAAACGTTCATTATAAATTTAAATCAGAAAGAAATAAAAAAGAATGTTGTAAGAAGGTTTACATGTTAATATAGACCGATTCTGCCTGATGAGCACTCGTCAAGGAAATATAAACAACTGCAATATAACCCGCTTTTCGTCGCCTTGTTTGTATATGGATGAGCAATCTAGTATACTATATATGTCATTGGTTTAAACTGGACTAAACAACTGTCAGACATAAATCTCATGCAATAAATGTCAGATGTAAACGTACCATTACATAAGTATTGTGTGGTATTCTTTTTAGTGTTCTCAAAAAGAAAAAAAATAAGCCTATCTTCGAAATTTGACATGTTCTCTAAAAAATGAAGTCCCATTCATTACCCTACAATTTTATAATTATAATATTATTCATTTTAAAGAAAATACCTTGTTGCCCCATATGGAGTTATCCACAAAATTTTTTTCTAAAGTATGCCTCAGAAAAAAACACGTATGTCGGATTGTACAATTCTTCCTTTTTGATTTAGTTTTGATTTTGATTTATCACAGATATATATCGTATTTCTATCTTTATCGGTCGTGGTTTACCTAATTTAAAAACATTTTTTGTAACGTTTTATTTAATAATGTAAAACTGTTTGCATTATAACATAAAAATGAGTAATGTTTTTAGGTCATGGAGAGACGATAGCTAAATTTTGCCTCGCTAATTCCATAATAAGAGAGATGATGCATGGGCAATCCGCTCAAGATGCTACCGAAGACGTATTGAAGAAAATGACAGCTCGTCTTAATAACACTGCAGGTAAAAAAAATATATGGTTTGAAATCGCTTTAGAGAATACGAATAGTACTTGAGATACTGACCAATATAGGACGTCAATTGAACCATTATGTCTAATCCTAAGAACAAGTACTTCATAACAAAGGTTAAATCTTTATAGAAATGATAGATCTATTTGATAAATTTAAAATACATTATTTACTTTAAGATTACATTTTTATTTTACTTAATCCTAACATTATAATTTTTGGTGGTATTAAGTTTTTTACTCTATTAATTCCATAATTTACATTTATTTTTAACTGGAATATGAGTCTCGAAACGGTTCTATTACTAATATAAGGATCATCTTCAAACTCGTTAGGAACAGTTACCATATTATAAGCATTTTGTGGACTTACTTGATCTCAAATATTTCTAAAATCCCTATTTTCGACTAATCGTCTATTAAGAATAGAAAACATTCTAATTCCGGGCTGTATACGACTCTGATATTATCGTCGATTCACTCTTTGGGCAGATAATGACTGCCCGTAACAACACAAAAAACGCATGTTTGAAATCTTTCTGTTTGTAAAATTTTGATTTTTCGAAAATATTGGGGCGATGTTTTCAATATTATGATAGTTCACATGAACCGAATAACTAAAATGACACCACAGATAAATAGACTTTTGTTTCCCGGATTTTGTGTTTTAGTACTTCTTTACACCAATCTCCCCTAGTTAGAAGCAGGGGGGGTATCGCGCATAGTGTCATGTCGGCGCTGACGTCATGCGTAGAGTTAGTAGAGTTGGCGCCAAGTAAATATCATATCACAGATGCACGTTGAAGTGATTTGTAAGTTATTAATAGGGATTTATAACATTTTAAGCGAATATCTGTTTTATATTACATTGTAGACAGTGTTCTTTGTGAGTGGTATTAGTGATAAACATTAAAAAATGAGGTACACAATTTACGGATGTAGGAGTAACAATCGAAGCAAAGGAGTCGACATTCCTCGACAGTAAGTTATTGGTCAGAAGTGGCCAAAAGGCGGCTCTAGTTGTAAGTCCCAGGGAGCCTCGCCTCTTTCTTAATTAACATTTTTACATTCTATGGGGCCTTTATTGAAAAATATACTAAAAAGGGAAATGTTATAAGCAATGCTACCCACTCCTCGAAAATTTGACGAAGACGCCCTTGCAGTGGCCTGTGGCCGTGCATAAAACATAAACTTGTCAAAGGTGATCCAAAAATTTTTAACCTTTCAATTATAACATGGACCTCAAAGCAAACCTTCACGTTAGTTCATTCGCAACTCAGGACTTCTTAACTGAGGATTCTACCCTTTGAAAGCTGAAAATTTCGCAATATTTAGCAAAGGTGAAATTATTTATGTCGCAAAAAAATAAAATTTCGGCATATTGTACTTGATGAAGGAATTAGAAAACTATTAGTGACTAGGTCCAGGAAAAATGCAGTACATTTATTTTTATGCTTTGCATTATATTATATGTATAAAAAATATTTTTTAAAAACCTGTTTTTGTAATCGTACCTATACATAAATCCCATCTTATTCATAAAATAAGTCGTTAAGTATATTCAATTGAGTAATATATTGCAGATAAATGAGTCATCAGTTGCGAATCCTCATCAGGTAAATAGTCCCAAAATACGAAATTTTAACCTAGCAGTTGAGAAATTCTGAGTTGCGAAGATACCCTTCTCATTATCCTGGTCATAGAAACTATTCTTTAGACGTCGAATTTTCTTCTAAATTAAAATCTGCATTAAAATTTATGTAACAAAAATAAATCATTAATAAGAAAAAGAAAAAAAACTGATGCTTCAAATAAATATTTTTTTCATATATGTATTTGAGTTTATTTTCCTTTATAGCTCTTTACTTACAATAATATCCTTAGATATTTGATGTCATTTTTAAAATATTATCCTTTAATATTTATTAAATTTCTATAAATAGCATTTAGTTTCCTCATACTTCGATAGTATTTTTAAATTCCCGCCTATACAAACTCTACGCATGACGTCATGCGCGTGGTCGTCCTATTTTTGACACAGTTCATATCCTACCTTCTATTTTTTATACCATGAGTTAGAAGGATAAAGGTTCTGAACTAGATGCCACACTCAAAATATAAATTTTAAGAGAACTCCAAAATATAAAGTTCGAATACTTATCGATAACGAATTCGAAAATATCGTCAGAAAATAATTTTCAGGAGGGTCTCTTCAAAGTGTAAGGGGTTTTCTCGCCTCTGAGAAAATTGTCCCTTACTAATGGCGCTGCTTACGGGTGGCTCTAGAGCGCCAGATTTACTCCACAAACTCTCGAAGCGGCGTCGAAAGTACTCGGGTAGCTATAGATGAAGATGAATAATTCTAGGGGTCAAAGGTCACGTAGACACAGGTAATGGTGGGCCACAAGTAACGGGCTTTAATCGTTGCTTGGGCTAGTACAGAATTTATCACTAGCTGAAATACAAGGGGGAAATAAAGTATGGAATTAGTAACCAGTAATACAGCACGTTAACGTTGACACATATATTGTTTCAAACTATTTACAACATAAAAAAGAAATAAATTAAGGTATTTCAACGCCCACCCTCACAGTAATACAAACCCTGAACAAAAATAAACAAACAAAACGGCCGGAAATGACATCCGAATAACCTCAATCAGACGTAAAAAAATGAAATCAATAATTGTAGTAATCACGGTCGCAGCAAAAGATTATTATTGAACTGTATATTCCGTTGTTGAGATAAAAATGTAACTTAATATTTCGTTCAGTAGAAATATTAATTCGGTCGTAGGAAAAATTTACTATCAGACTATTTTTACGGACGCAGGAAAAATTAACTATCTAACAGTTTATTCGTTAAAGAAACTAAAAATGCAATTTAATAATTTTCTACAGAAAATAATATTTACGGTCGTGGGAAAAATTAACTGTTGAATTGTCTAATCGGTATTTACAATCAAATGTAATTGAATTTTTCGGCAAAGAAAAATTGCATATACGGTTGCAGAGAATGCCAGGAGACAGGTTCGGGACAGTACTACTTTCAGGGCTAAAACCGGGAATCTATAAGAAGTTTACTCAAACAAGTGATTGGAAAGTAAAACCAACTAACAACCGGGATAGCACATTATCTCTGAATGAAGTGATCGTAATCATGAGCCGCTTCAGACAGGGGAATGCTACTATTTAAGTTTACTTAAAATAACGGATACTTACGCAAATAAGTGTTTCAGACGTAAAATAAACTAATAACCAGGATAGCACATTATCTCATAATGAAGTGATCGTAATCACGAGCCGTTTCAGATAGGGGAATGATTCTCCTAAAATTTGTGGTTCGAAGTATAAAATAAAAGAAAATGTCTCGTCGCAAATATATTAAGATAACAAATCAAAATAATAGACAATTCCCAAACAGTTCCGACTAATTATTTATTGGTTAAAGCTTTATAAATGAACTAAAATGAAATTCACGATATTACCATGGAAATTTACGGTAGCAGGAAAAATTAACTATACGACTATAGTTACGATCGAATGAAAAATAAATTATTTAACAGTTAAAGCCTTAAATAAACTAAAATGAAATTCCAAAAAAAAACGGTGCTTTCTAACAAGAATAAATTAAAATATTTCTTAATCAAAACAAATTTCAATTTATAACTCAACACGGAATAATATTAATTAAAAATAAATCTAAATAAAACGGTTTTCAATAGCATGGCTTAAAGTCTCGAGCGGAAAAAAATCTATAAAAAGAATAACAACAATTTACCTATCGTCAAGATCGCGGCTAGAAATGTATATCGGTTTTAAATTGTATCTCTCGCGGATTTCGGTGTCTAAATAATTTTTCTATTTTCGGCTGTTCGATAAATCGGTGTATTAGGAACTAAAGTTTTTAATTGAATCTCGGACCTCATTCAATCGTCGATAGCCCTTTCAATAACAGAAACTTCACCATTACAACTCGCGCACGCAGAGTATTTGGACGATATGGTCTGAATTGCAACAAGCTGATATAAAGGGTATATCCACGAAGTTAAAATTAAGTAAAAATCGAAATTAGTAAAATATTAATGAAAATTGACTTTATTACAAGAGTAAAAGTAATTTTTTCTACAATCACTATCCAAAGTAGGCTTCTGCACATTCAAATCTAACTGGAACGTAGACGTTTTCCATGAATTGTCATAGTTTGACATTATTACCGCATATAGGCGGAAAGTTACTTTTTGCACACGCCTATTTTCTCATTAGAAAATTTCATTGGAAAGGTTGTTACTATAAAGCTAATCGGTATTTTAGAAGAAAATGTAGACTAATCTGAATATTTTAATTGAACATTTAATACTCAAACTCATTTTCCTTAATATTTAAATGATAATTAAAATATTAAAAATACATTACCCTATTTTTAACACTCATATTTAACATGTTGGTGTAGAGCTTAGTGCGTTTGTGTTTGAACCTGTTGGTCGTGAGTTCAATCTTCACCAGCTATTATTTTTTTTTTAAATTTGATTTTTTTGTTTGTAGTATTAAATAAAACTTAAAACAGTGTATGAGTCATTAATTTGCAATTTGATTATTTTAATCGATGATCTTGTAAATTATTTTAAAGATGTACTTACTAACAAATATTTTTTATGCTAATCATAAAATTAATCTTCAATTAAGCAGGCTGAATTTTGCTCGTCTAATTCTAATCTGTTAAAATACTGACATTTGTACGATTTACTATTTATAATCTATAGGGTGTTACAAATTTATAGAGTAAACAGAAATTTACCGTTTTCGCTTAGAATTTAAAAAATCGTTTTATTTATTACAGTTTCGTTCCTGGCTAGGTATTTTTCATTAAAATTAAATTTAAATTAAATATATATTTATTTGATGTTATATTTATCTTTTACTTTCAGGAGCCATCACTCTCGATAATAAAGGCGAAGTTGGTATTTTTTTTACAAGTGAAAAAATGTCATGGGCTTACAGAAAAGAAGATTTATTACATTTTGGGATATTCCCTAATCAACACGAAACTGAGGACGCCATAGAAGATAACTAAACATAGTTTCATAAGTAAAACTGGATATTTTTTTAAGTTTATGTAACTCATGATAATTATTAGGTATTCTCAAATAATATCCATATTTCAAAGTAGATTACGAGGAAAAAAAAACACTAAGTCCGTAACCATTGAATTTTATTTGATTTAAAAAAATATATGTTTTCATTTCAAAGCACTTTCGACCATGTAGGGTGATCATCAGGTATAAAATTATAAAGTAGGTAGAAAATCTGCGATAATCTTAAGTTAGATACATATCTTGAAACATTTAAATTTTCCTGTCTTACCACTTATAAGAAATCCATTTGATTTGGTGAAAAAATGATTTAAAACATGATGAAAATTATAATATAAATAAACTACATCAATAGGTTGAACTAATAGTAGATATCAGGGGCGGCTTGTGACCAAAATTTTGGGGGTTTACAGAATATAGATCTCGGTACAGATGTAGGTAAAAACTATACATTATAAACTTTCTAAAACACTGAAAGCTTTTTTCATACTGTACTGATATCTATATTCTATCACTGTGAACCCACAAAATTTTGGTCACATGCCGCCACTGGTGGATATGGTATAAAATGGCATAACATTTGAATAAAGCGAACTGTATTTGAATGAAATGAAACCCACCATTGGAAACTATCCTTGTATATATTAACGTATTTACAGTTATACAGTTAGAAAAGGTACAATTTTAGAGTCTGACAATCTAATTAATAATAATGTCAACTTCTTCGTAACTAGGGTTTTTTAAGGACGAGCGGCGCCCAACACATTATTAAAGGGTTCAACCCCAACATGCCGCCCCCCTTGAAAGCTCTGCCTTTCAAAACCAAATGCGTAAACTAAGAACTTGATTAATAGTTTTAAACTAACTATCCTCTTCCGAGTCTATCGGCAAAACACAGATTCGAGTAACTGCTCGTTTCAACAGGCCATGTGAAGTTTTCACGGTTACCACCCGGCATTGACCATCATTTCCTGGATGTAGCGTGACTATTCGGCCCATTTCCCATTTAAGTGGCGGTAAATTGTCTTCTTTTATGACGACCAGTTCTCCTACACGTATGGGCTCCTTAGACAACCTCCACTTACTTCGCTGTTGAAGACGTGTTAAATACTCTCTGGACCATCTTTGCTAGAAATCTTGGTTGATACGAAGAACTAATTTGTATCGGTCCTTATATCCTATCCTGACCTCCTTCATATCTTCTTGGGGTAGCGATGCTAACGAAGAACCGATTAAGAAGTGACCCGGTGTTAACGTATGTAAGTCTTCCGGGTCTTCCGTCAATGGAACTAACGGACGTGAGTTTAGACATGATTCCACCTGCGTTATTACTGTAAGCAATTCTTCAAAAGTTAGTCGTTGCTCCCCAACTACTCTCTTTAGGTGATATTTAGCCGACCTTATCACAGATTCCCACAACCCCCCAAAATGCGCCGATCGTGGTGGAATAAAGTGCCAGTTAATCTGTTGACTAGCAAAATGTCGCTGAAATGCAGTTTGAGTGTCTGAATTTTGTAAAAATCGGTTTAGCTCTTGTAGTCCATTTTTGGCCCCTACAAACAAATGCGCACATGTAAACCTTAATAACTTTGTGATCCCGAATTTTACTAAGTTTAATTTCAAATGGACCCCCGTAATCAATGCCGCAATTTGAAAAAGGACGGCTTGGCGTTACTCGACTTTTAGGCAAATTTCCCATTATACACTCAAACCCTCTAGGTCTTACCCTAAAACAAACTATACAATTTCTCAATACCTGCTTTATTGTATTGAGACCAGATAAAGGCCAATAATTTAACGTTATTATAGCCAACAACGCTTGTGGTCCTGCATGCAGATTCTTACGATGTTCATGAGTAATAAGCATTTTAGTAAATTTGTGATGGTTAGGTAATATGATTGGATGAAGCTGGTTAAAATGCAAATTGGAATTTTGTAACCTTCCCCCTACCTGAAGTATACCTTCCAAATCCAGAAACGGGTTTAATGATAACAATTTACTATTTTTTGCTATGTTCCGTTTCCCTTGTAGCGCAATAATCTCCTCCCAAAATGCCTGCCACTGACATAATTTAACAAGTATTTTTGACGCCCTTTGAAGCTCCTCAATATTTAAAGGTAGAATATCCTTTACCTCGGCCAATTTTTTAGATCTATTACCCTTCATACAGCAATTATTTGCAAACCGCAAGCAATATCCGACTACCCTCTGCAACTTAGAAAAATTTGAATACTTATTCCACAATTCTAAAGTCTGTAAACCTAATAATGTTTGATGTATTGCCTTACGTTCTGGTATTTTCTCAGTCTCAGATATTAAAACCTCACCAATTGGCCAATCCTTAGAATCTAGGTTTAACCAATTAGGCCCTTCCCACCAAATTCGACAATCCTTGAGACGATTTGGATCCAATCCCCGAGAAATTACATCAGCAGGATTATCACACGATTTGATGTGATTCCATTGATATCGTTTAGTGAGTCTTTGGATCTCTGCAGTACGGTTGCCTACAAAAGTCTTCCACTCCACTGGTTCAGCTGCCAACCATGAAAGTACAATCGTTGAATCGCACCAGTAAAATACCTTGTTGGGAGTGAAATCCAACGCTTTTAATGAAACAGAAACTAATCGCGCTAACAAAAGAGCCCCACATAACTCTAAGCGAGGTAGAGATAATACTTTTAAAGGTGCTACACGCGATTTCGAACACAACAAACTAACTTGATGTTTCCCTCCTCGGTTTGTGGAACGAATATATATGCAAGCTCCGTATGCGATTTGAGATGCATCACAGAATCCATGCACTTGAACTTCAGAAGTTTCGCTGCATATAACCTTTCGAGGAATCAACACGTGCTCTATCTGCTCTAGACTATCCCTAAAATTTTCCCATGTTGCTCTAAATTCTTCTGGTACCATCGAATCCCATTCCAATTTTAGCTTCCACAACCCCTGGAGAAGTAATTTTGCTTTTGTGATAACTGGACCCGCCAGCCCTAAAGGATTAAATAATTGCGAAATCGTCGACAGATTAGTCCTTTTAGAAATTTGTTTATTATTCACCATGTTATTTACTGAAAAATGAAATGTATCCCAAGATGGCTCCCAAAAAAGTCCTAACGTCTTGTGTTTTTCCTCATCATCGGCAATATAATGCTCAATATTCTGCATATCAGACTGCTCTCCTTCCCCTAATATAACTTTTCCATCATTGGACAACCATTTTCTCAACACAAAACAACCAGAATTTAGTATTTGACTTATCTGCTCCTTTAACACAATAGCCTTTTCAACCGTATCTTCACCTGTTAAAAGATTGTCCATATAAAAATCCTTGATAATTGCCCTGGAAGCTTTTGGATATTTTGTTTGATTAATATGCCCTAACTCCTGCAAACAGCGCACAGCTAAAAATGATGCCGAAGCAGTACCGTACGTAACAGTATTCAAATTGTAGATGTCAAGCGGCTTCCCAACTGATGACCTCCACAAAATACTTTGTAAATGCCTTTGGTCCTCCCTAATTAAAATTTGCCGATACATCTTGGCGATATCAGCAACCATTACAAATTGATGTTTTCTAAATCGCAATAATATGTCAAACAAATCATCCTGAAGTTTTGGCCCAACCATCAAAATGTTATTTAGTGACATTCCACTATCCGTAGTAGCACTAGCATCAAAAACTACTCGAAGTTTTGTAGTCAAAGATGCCTCCCTAACGACCCCATGATGCGGTAGTAAACAAATTCCGTTTAAATCCCATAATGTATTCACTTTTTTTCCTTCCGGCCACCTAATCTCTTTTACCTTTGTCATATGACCCAATGCCTCGTATTCTTCCATGAATTCACAATAAGATCTTTTAAACCGTTCATCCCTAGCAAATCTCCTTTCGACATTTTTAAATCTTTTAATCGCTATTCCAAAGGATCCTCCTAACATTGACTCCTCTCTTTTAAGTGGTAATGTGACTATGAACCTCCCTTCCTCATTTCTTCGTGTAGTTTCCTTGAAAATAATTTCGCATCTTTCTTCTTCTTCTTCAGAAAACTTTCTTTCCTCAGCAATTTCCTCAATCATCCAAAATTTTTCAAGCTGTTCTTGCACCTTCATATTCGCTACCAAATGACAACTAGACTTGTTAACCTTATCTCCGACATTATTTGAAATTGGCCCTGCTATAATCCAACCCAGCCTTGTATTTTGTAACCAAGGTTTACCTGGACCTAACTTATAGTGCTCGTCAAGTAAAACCTCCCAAAACCAACCTGCACCTAACAAAATATCAATCTTTCTAGGTATTGCGAAATCAACATCTGCCAAAACCTTATCGCTGGGGATTTGTAGGCTGCTACGATTTACCTGAAAAGACGGTATATTCTCAGAAATTTCATCGATGACTAATAATTGTGTCGTGAACTCAAATTCACTACATCTTGATTTTAATTTTGTTGTAATATATTGATCTATGTTCATTGATGTTTGTCCCATACCCACAATTGTTAAATTTGTGCGTTTAGATGGAATTCCTAACTTTTCCCAAAATTGTTTCGTAATGAAAGACGATTGAGAGCCTGAATCCAATAAACAACGACAAGAATGAGAAGTTCCATAACAGTCTTCGACTGTCAGAATGGCAGTTGATAAAAATATGTTAGATTGATTAATCCCTTGCGTCCCTAATAACTGAACTTCCTGAATTCCCGAATTTACACAATAAGTATGTACCTGATTGCCTTGACTCTGTTTATTTTTTAACTGTACCTCATTTGATTGGATAGACCCACCTGGAATAGCCTGCATTTGCGTGCCATTACCCTCATGAAGATTTGTCTGTGAATTACACCCTTGATTCGACCTAGTCCCTGGATTGCTGTTACCATCTGTGGTTAAGCCCTCTCCTTGCACAACAACATTCGAATATGATTTTTGCCGACCATTGATATTTTCAAATGCATGCTGGTCTTCGTGTAGAAGAGAATGATGTCTCCTTCCACAATGCTTGCATCCCCCTGATGAACAATCTTGTACTCTGTGTCCCCGTTTAAGACAATTCCAACATAAACTAGCCTCGCTTGCTTGATTACGTCTTTCTCCTAATGTCATGCCTAAAAACTTTTTACATAAAAATATATTGTGAGATTCATTACAAATGCCACATTTTCCTGCCGACTTCTGGTTTTGAGTAGCCAGAAGAGTCTTACCTGGCTGAGACTGAAACTTACCTACATTACCCCTAATATTATTATGGCTGAAAGACCCTTGTTTATTTATACCTGAAGCATATGAAGTTTTGTTAAACTCTTGCTTATTTATCCCTGTCTTTTCTGGCTCTAAATATTTACACCTGTTAGAAAGAAAATTTAAAAACTTTTCCATTGAAGGAAATTCATCTGACTCTGTTTTTTGTTTCCACATATTTTTAGTAGTTTGATCCAATTTTTTATGAAGATGAAATATCATGTACGTTTCCCACTGTTCCACGTTTTGACCTAATGTTGTCAATGCCCTAATATTTTTTCGAATTGTATTCAAAAACTTATTTAATTGTTCGTATGATTCCTTACCTATTGTTGGAAATGAATCTAATGCCTCTAAATGTGCGTAAGTTATTATCTTTTTGTTATCAAACTCTAATTTTAGCAAATCAATAGCGTCCTTGTAGTTACCCTCTGTAATTTCCATATCCTCTATTAACTCCGCAGCTGCCCCTGTCAAAGCACGTTGTAAATAGACAAATTTTTGATACTGTGATATCACATTATTTGAATCAATAAGAGTACGAAATGCATCCCAGAAACTTAACCACTTATTATAAGACCCGTCAAATTTTGGGACTTCTATAGGCGCAAGTTGCATTTCTGCAACAGTTTCTCTAGATGGCCCACCCTGAGACCGTGTAGTGATTTGATAAGCTTGCTCATTTTGTGAAATTATATCTTTAGCAATTGAAACAACTTCAAAGTAATGATCTTCAAATGCTATCCTTTTTTGTTGTTGAGCTAGAGAGCTACTATACCTTTCAATCTCAAACTGTATTTCTAGGAATTCATTCCACCACTCATTGCATTTTTCTAACCTAGCCTCAATTTTACCAATATTATCTACTGAAAAATCTGTAACCAAATTATATAACCGTGTTAATTGATCATTTAGAATTGTTCGTTTACGCATTAACTCATCTAACTGATCTTGTACCTCAGCTTCCTTATCGTTGCTTTTTCGCCTACCCATTGCAATAGTAACAACTCAGTTAAAATCCTATATAAACTCAATTGGCCTTACTTATTAATCGGACCTCGATAATCGCTTACCCCTGTAGTTGCATCAAATGAATGTTTGTTCCTATGTGTACCCTTAAGCCTTTGACGTTCCTCCTGGTGCTACTGGAAAATTACTTCTAACATGAAGTATCCGGCTCGAAGGACCATGAAGAAAGCGGACTGTATTTGAATGAAATGAAACCCACCATTGGAAACTATCCTTGTATATATTAACGTATTTACAGTTATAATGAAAAGGTACAATTTTAGAGTCTGACAATCTAATTAATAATAATGTCAACTTCTTCGTAACTAGGGTTTTTTAAGGACGAGCGGCACCTAACACATTATTAAAGGGTTCAACCCCAACAACATTTAAAGCGTCCGAAAAAATAAAAAAATAAAAAAAAATAAATAGTGGTTGATAGGCGTTGTTTTTATTTCTTTGCATAATAATTATTGTATTTATTTGTAATCTATATAAATTTGTTTTTTATCATTAAATATTAATATAATTATTTGTATTTTTTTGTCTCAGAGTGAATAATTTAAAATTTTGAAATATAGTATAATAAAATTGAAACTTTTCTTGGTAATCCGTTATTGATTTCATTAATACAAGGGCTGTTGTACTCTTTCAATTGAACCTAGTACAGTAACATATAGTTTATTTACTAAAAAAATATTTATTATATTTCAAATGCTTTTGAACCGATTCCTAAAGGCAATTTCTCCAATCTTCTGTCCGCAATTTGTTTATTTCATTTTTACTTTCCTATCTGTATACAGATAAGGAAAGTATATGAATCGAGATTTTTTTTGACCTCGAGTTTTCGACGGATTTTTACGTTTTGGGGTCATGCAGGACTTTTTATCAAGAATAACTTTTTTTCCTAAAATCAATAATAAAAATGTTTTCCATATGGTTCCAACTTATTCTTTAATGTTCAATATTAATTAAACATCCTGTATTAAGGTGTCTAGTATATGCTTAGCATATGCTATATTTAAATACTTAGCATATACTTAGAACGTACTATCAAATTAAAGTAGATACCTGTTGCATACTGTACATATTCTCAGTATGTGCATAGCACGTATAAACAACGTCACGTAGCATATGCTTAGTATGTTCTGAGAATGTACCAAATGCAAATACAGTATATTCTCAGCATATGCCTATTCTTAAAAAGTATATACTAAGAAAATGCTAAGAATGTATAATTGTTATCTGGGTAGGATGGCCGATACGAGAAGACATGAAGTGCATTTGTGTTGAGATAAATGAACCGTCTTGGATACATTTTAAATAATTGTAAGTTTCTTATTCTTTATTTAAAAAAAAAAGTTGTTTACTTTAGTGACTTCTATACAAAGTTGGAAAAAAGTATCAACTTAAGATTCACCCTGTATAAGCGAATACCTTTCCTGTATATATTGTACATGTTCAAAAGCAGATATTATGACATATTTTCAGTATTTAGAAGTGGACAAAATCGCATATTTATATTGCTTACTTATTTTTACGTTCTCCACATAATGTGGATTTGCCATCGAACGATATTGTTGAGTTTATATGTGTTTATAAAACAAAACTTCGTTACAATAATTTATTTAACGTCCTAGGTAATATATCACTACAAATAATAATCTACAGTCCACGCATCATTAGATAGATACAACGGAAGGCACTTCATCAAAGAAATATTCACAAGGGTATGTATGCATTTTCTACAAGGTCCCACAAAGCTAATTTTCTTCAGTCTCAAAAGAATAAAGTAAACTTCAAAACTTTTCTCTTTTGACTAATAATTAAGGTAAGTAACGATGTGTTTTCTATTTTCAATCGTATCTAATTTTTATTTTTTCTTTATTTTGTATTTTTTAAAGAAGTAAAATAGATTATTATTATTAAAAAATAATTTGATAATCCAATAACACGGCGTAATTTAATGTTCCATAAATTTCTGCTTCAAGAAATTACACCAAAAAGCCAGTAATTAACGTTGTTGGTTTTAATAATTTCCCGTGAAATCGATTGTGATAAAAAAGGTAATGATGCCGAAAGAGCTATGCCATAATTGTTTTACCTAATCATTATGAAATTACGCTATTAATAACTGAAAAAATTAACATGATTTCCCACTCTCATCTAAAGCATAATATTGTTTAAATACGTGCATTAATTACCGATACTCACGTCGAGTCATAATTATCGGAACTTTTACCGAACGTTTTATTTAGCGTAATAAAACGAACAATAGGTGTAAAATTAAACAATTTGATTTTTGTTTAAAACAAACACCAAAAAAGAAAAATAAGAATAAATTCAAGAAAACATTCGGCCATTTTTTGGTTTTCCAATTCCAAAGACATTTTTGGTTTCGTAATTCTTAAAATATTCTCATTTTAGATCCATTTCTTTTATTTTGTTCGAACTCATTGAACAGTGGGAGAGGGTAGTGAGATGGAGAGTACTAAGTGAGACAACAAGAATAACTTTTCAAATTTCCCGCTAAATTATTTCAAGTGTCAGAGAGGTATTAACATTCAGATAGCAAAGCACTTTACGAATTTTTCGATTGTTTTGGTTGATTTTAGTGGTGGTTTTTATTAAAAACGAATTTTAAGGCAAGTTAGGTACTTTATTGTATCTACACAAGGTGTTTATTAATTGAGTGCCGATACTTAAGGGTGTGAATCCTTAGGTGATTTTAAGAAGAAAAGTAAATATCAACATATGTCGTAACTCACTTAATTTTTGAGCTACAGGATGTTACAGTTTTAAGAAAAAAATTACTTTTTTATCATAATTTTTTTATCACTTCAGATATTTCTATGAAATTTTGTACACACGTTTTAATAATTAAGGAGTATTTTTTGACGTATAAGATTTTTTAAATTTTTACCAGTGACGTCCGTACGGGGTTTAAACTGAATATTTTTGAAGAAAAAAATGGTACGCCACTGCTTTTTCTGAAAACCAAAATTATTTTTGAAATCATCATTTATTTTGGAGCAAACTTGACTCATAGACTTACTTTCGTACGATGCACCGTTTTCGTGTAAAAAAATAAAAACCATTGTAGTGGTTGGTCAAATTTTTTCCTTAAATTCATTGATACCTACTGCTTTTGATATTTTGTTGAAATCTGGTAGGTACCCACCATGCGTGGAAACATTTTTTTGGGACAAAAATTAATTTTCTACGTTTTGAATAGAAAAAAATGGTAAGCGCATTATTGCCCTCTTAAAGTAAATGAAATAAACATTAGTAGGCTGGGTAAAGCGTCATCATTTTTGACATTTCTTTTCATAAAGACAATAAAGTTGACATTGATTTTACATTATTAAATAATTATTATTAGAGTAAGAGTTAAAATCTAAAAAAAAATGGTAAATTTTACGAACAGTGAATTAGCTGACATGCATTTTAGTTATGGGCTTGCAGACGGAAATACATACGAAGCCAGACGGATATACCAAGAGCGGTATCCAAATCGCGTACTACCCGATCCGAGAACATTTTCTAGGATTCATAGACGTCTTCACGAGACTGGAACTTTAAAAGTAGACCACAGGGCTAAAGGAGTCCATCAAACAGTAAGAACACCGGAACTTGAAGAAGGAATTTTACATGAAATTGAGGTGAACCCCGAAACTAGCACGAGGAGAATCGCGTCAACATTTAATGTTTCACATGTACTTGTTTGGAAAATTCTCATCGAAAATTTGTTATACTCTTATCACATTCAAAGAGTCCAGGCATTACTCCCTAGATATTTCCCGTTGCGCATTAATTTCTGTGAGTGGTTTCTTCAAAACCTGCTGGAAAATCCATTATTTGACAGGCACATTCTTTTTACCGATGAAGCTAATTTTTCTCGAAACTCAATAATAAATTTCCATAATAACCATTGATGGGCGGATGAAAACCCTTATGCAATTGTTGAGTCAAATCATCAAGAACAGTTCTCATTAAATGTTTGGGCTGGCATTATTGATGATTATTTGATAGGCCCATTTTTTCTCCCAAGAAGACTTGATGGACAATCATATTTACACTTCCTTGAAGATGATCTGCCGCCATTGCTTGAAGACCTTCCTCTTTTATTAAGAAACCAGATGTGGCTAATGCACGATGGTGCGCCTCCACATTTTAGCTTACGAGTGCGTGAATTTTTAAATCACACCTATCGAAATCGGTGGATAGGTCGCAGAGGAACGCAGTCATGGCCGCCTAGATCTCCCGACCTTAATAGTTTAGACTTCTTCTTCTGGGGGCATCTGAATAGCTTAGTGTACGCAGTGCCGATTCAAACCGAAGAAGAGTTACGAAATCGTATAACAATCTGCTGCCAAACCATAAGAAACACCCCAGGAATATTTGAAAATGTGCGTCAGTCTATGCGAAGAAGAGTAGATGCTTGCATACGTGTGGGTGGAGGACACTTCCAACAATTACTGTAAATAATTTGGGTTCTTTATTTTGTTTGTATTCTCTTGTAATTTCGTTTTAGATTCAAGATTTTGAATTTTTATTTTACTATAAATAAATCCCGATTATTAAAATACATAGAATTTAAAAAAATCAGAGGTGTACGTTTTTTTTTCTATCCAAACATTCAATATGATGCCTACGTGGCCGTCACTGGTGGAAGTAGAAAATTAATTTTTGCCCCAAAATAAGTGTTTTCACGCATGGTGGGTGCCTACCAAATTTCAACAAAAAATCAAAAGCAGCTTAAGAAAAAAAAAATTTGGTTTTTATTTTTTTACGCTAACACAGTGCATCGTACGAAAGCAAGTCTATGGGCCAAATTTGCTCAAAAATAAATGAATATTTCAAAAATAATTTTGGATTTTAGAAAAAGCAGCGGCGTACCATTTTTTTCTTCAAAAATATTCAGTTCAAACCCCGTACGGAAGTCACTGGTAAAAATTTTAAAAAGTCTTATACGTCAAAAAATGCTCCTTAATGATTAAAAGGTGTTTACAAAATTTCATAGAAATATCTGCAGTGATAAGAAAATTATGAAAAAAAATATATTTTTTTCTTAAAACTGTAACACCCTGTAGCTCAAAAATTAAGAGATTTACGACATATGTTGATATTAACTTTTCTTCTTAAAATCACCCAAGGATTCACACCACTGATCTGTATTATTTTACTGGATAGGATATAGGCTATATTTAACATACTAAAAAACCGTTCCACCAAGGAGACCGGAAGTGCAACATTGCTGGCCGATTTGGGCAAATTATGGTGGGTTCACAGAACTGAAATTTGGGATAATTTGACATACCTAACCTATAATTTGATTAGTTTTTCTTATTCTTCTTCTATTCCTTTTGCGGGCGATGTCCTTCGGGAAAATTCACCCATGATTTGATTTTTTATGAAAGAAAATATAATAATGGAAACGTGAAGCATATTGTGTCTTCAGGAATGAACGTTTATTGTTTATTTCATACTCTTTTTACTTTGTTTTCCACAATAAAAACATCTCATCGTAGCTTGTTGACACAATTAAATGACA